GGTGGTGGTGGTGGTGGTGGTGGTGGTGGTCTGTGATGCTGCGGTGCTGTGGATCGGAGCATTCGTGAATCACGCGCTCATGCATGACGAAGAGCTTCCGACGCACCATTGCCGCATCATCGATCTAACACCGTCGCCGTTGCCGTTGTGCGCCAAACCACCCAACACCAACACCTCCACGATGGGCGCGCGCGCAGAGCACCGGCGCTGAATCACCTTTGCCTGGCTGAATCATCGCTGTCACACTGAGCCGTGCGCCGTGCTGCTCGGCTTTGAGACATTCCCTGGCCTCTCCCTTGCCGCCTGGCTTTGCAAAGTAGACGCGCGACTGCGCTCGTAGATTGTGTGGACCTGCCGAGAGCTGGTGGCAAGCTTGCTGTCGTTCGCAGAGGTCGCCTCCGTCCATATATAGTCCAAGCGCTCGCATGATCTTCTGAGCGAAGGCCGCCCTCTCAGCAGCTCTATTAAGCAAAGACACAAGCAAAAGCAAGTCCTCGTCGCCTTTTCACATACACACAACATGTCGACTCAAGGCGGAACTCAGTCTCCCCCGCTTCAGGGCCGCGAGAACGACCCCATGGGCCAGGTGAGGAAAGACACATTGCGCTCGCATTCGACCAAGGCCGTGAGCAGCTGTGCTGACCATAGCTCCTACCTTTGCTACACTGACAGTCGGCTCCGGGCAAGCCTTCGCATGCCATGCCGGACGAGGAGCAGCGCGGTGCTGTCTTTGGCAAAGGCGAGAGCAAGTCGGGCGAGAGTGGTCAGGCCGGCGACGCTCATGCCGGTGCAGGCAACATTGGGCAGGTAAGCACGATCGTCGTTCCGCTCTCGAATCCGTGAGCAAATGCTGACCACTTCTATTTCTGCTCCACCTTGATGCGTGCCGTCTTCGCAGGCCGTCGAAAACGCCAAGCACGCTGCTACCAACCAGCCGGGCAAGTGAGCCTTTCGCCATGTCCTACACCTTTGGACGCACAAAGCATGGTGACCTGTTGCAAGTTGGAATGATGAGCGTCGTTGCAAAGAGGATGGGTCTGATCGGATCAGGCAGCCGGACGAGTGCGTCGGCGAGAAGGTGTTGCGGGCGGCAGCTGCTGCCAGTTGGCATAGGCGTAAGGCGGCAACGAGGCAAAGTCGGGATGAGGCGAATGGTAGTAGTGAGGCATGCCGCTCGCGTGGGCGCCCACTGCCTGCGGTGGCGCACCGGCAATGGCGTGGGTATGCGGTTGCCGAGAAGCTGCGGCCGGTGGCTGCGTTGGCTGCGATTTGTTGTCGCTATGCGAGCGCGAGCGAGACTTGATGCGAAAGAAGGACAAGAACGAGTTGGTGGCGCCCACCACCATGGAGAAGCAGATGAGGGTAAAGAACATGGTCTTCCAGCTCACCGAGTCGACAAAGCCATTGAGGATCTCGGCGAAGGTCTCTGCGGTGACGCGCGCGGTGCCCACGACGGCGGGATCGCGTGCCGAGCAGCGCTCCCAGTTGCTGCACGCATGCGCCAACGCCGGCGCCTGCAGATCCGTGCCGCATCGGTTGGCCGTGTAGGCGGCAGCACAGGCCGTGATCTCGGAGAGCGTGTCCATCTCGTAGGCGCGCACCTTTTCAGCCACGTCCTTCTGCACCGTGCGAACCACGTGGAAGAGCAGATACAGGAACGCCGACAGGATGCTCGCGTTGAAGACGAGTTGCGCATAGCCAAGCAGCAGCTCGGGCTTGTCCATGTGATGCGCCGGTGCGACCGAGGATGCGGCGCCGCCCTGTGCATGTGGCAGTGGCGAGACGGCACCTGGAAGGATGTAGTTGACGGCATACTTGGTGATTGAGCGAATGCGACTGGGCGTACCGCGCTGCCGTGACCCTCGACTGCCGTGGTCGTCGTCGTCGTCATCGTCTTGGTCGTCGTCTTCTCCCTCGGTGCCGATGCTATCGCCGTCATCGACAAAGTCGTCCTGATGAGATCCAAAGCCGCGCGACGAGGGCACGAGATCCCTGCTCTGCAGATGCGCGAGGCGCTTTCCTTTCCTGGTGAGCACGCTGCGTTTTCGACGCACGTGCTGCGAAGTCGACGCCAATGGCCAATTCTGCGCAGCTGCGTCCGATCTCGATGCTTTGGAAGAGTGACTGCGTGGCGCAGCATCAGCAGCATCGGACATCGAGTCGTCGGCCAGCCCTGGGCCTGCATCTGCCAAGTGGTGGCGTCGCGAATCGCCAAACTTGTGAGAAGGCGGTGTGAGGCTCGACATTTCCACGTCGGCCATGTCGGTGTCGATTGTCTGCGTGACGTTGGCATGCTGATGTGCTGTCCAGCCGCTCGAGCCGTCGCTGTCGAAGATGCTTGCTGCGTGCGACAAGAGCGAGGGTCAGTACCCGTTGCGACACGGCGAGGAGGGCGAGTACTTACGCTGCCGTGGGCCCGGAGGGGATGTGTCCATCGGCGCTTCTGTGCCTCTTTGCCACATGACGCTGAAGAGTAGGCAGATCGCAAGGCGAAAGGTACGTGAGTCGAAAGAAAGGAAGGAAGAAAGGTGTGTTGAGTGTTGGTCTCGTGAGGCACCTCTTGGACGACGGTCTAACACTGTCAAACCGTCGAAATTCCTCTCCACATCACAGAAGCCAGTGATGATGATGATGAAGTGTGGACCCTGCAAAGCGCCGTTTCTGTCCACATCCTTCGCTTGCCTACACACTGCCATAGCACCATCGATCCCGAGATGGAGCGCCAACGCTAGACGGTACTCTAGCCTCGCCTTGCGACCGCATATCACCTAGGCTGGAAGACTCAATCGCAGGCCTGCGGGGGCATGCTCGGTCGTCATGTCGCTCAAGCCACTCACCCCGCCGCTGCGCTTCTCGACCGTCGCCTTTTCCGGCAATGACAGGCCCTCGACATCTGGACCCCATGCCGGAACGGACGACCCTCGTAGCCATCCGCATCACCGCGAATCGGTCTATCGAGGCGCGTACCCCAAGGCGCGCAACCTCTATTTCCTCTCGCGGCTGCACCTCCGCACCGTGCTCAGCTTGACGCCGAGGCCGTTGGACAATGATGCCGCCATCCTGCAGTGGTCCTCATCGTCGGAATCTGCTGCGACTGCGCCGTCGGTGGCGGAAAAAGCGTCCCAGCTCGGCGTCCAGCTCGTCCATGTGCGGTGCGAAAAGCCCAAGGACGAGAGCGGCGGCCTCACGCGCGAAGGTGCGGCGCGGGCGCTCTCGGTGCTCCTCGATCGGCGCAATCATCCGATCTACGTGCACTGCCTGGACGGTGTAGAGGTGACGAGCACGCTCGTCGCCTGCATGCGCAAGGTGCAGGCCTGGTCGACACCTGCCATCCTCGCCGAGCTTGGACGCGCGCTGCGCGATTCCAGCTCGTCCGAGTGGACCGAGGTGCCCTCGCATCTGTCGTCCTTTCTCACCAAGTTCGGCCAGCCTGACGGTATGCGTCTGCCGCCCCGCAACCATATCCCGTCCTGGCTATGGCCCGCGCCCAACCCGCTCTCCATCCTGGCCGATCCGTATGCGTGGGCACCCAGCTCGCATCACAACGGCCCCTCCAACGGCAACAGCTCTCAAGACGCATCCAATGGAGCCGATTTGCAGATGGCAAAGAGTCCCTCGCATGCGCCCGTATCCTCCGCATCGTCCGACACTCTGGCTGTCTCTTCCGCCAGATCTGTGCCTCAGCAACGCGCGCACGCATCATTACGGCGTGATAGGCAGCTGCCCATCCATCATCCCACGCTCAAGCTCCACTTTGAGACGGACCCAGACTTGCCCGCCGAGCCTTGTCCACCGTCGGTCTCCGCAGCTGTCTCGAGCACTGCATCTTCCGGTGTGCATCGGCCAGCAACACCTTCGCGTCCACTGCAGGCACACTCGCGCACCTCGTCACACAACAGCATCGCAAGCCTGCGCACTCCGCCGCATTCCAGGCCATCCAGTCGCGCAGGTCGACCTCCCACTGCAAGCACCGCCGGCTCGCATCCACTCGCATCGCGCTCCGCCTCGCTGGCGCCAGACCAGGCGAGCTCGGCACGAAGGAACGTCAACACAGCTCGAGATCCGTCCAGCGCGTCGCTCCTCAGTCCCAGTCCAGCAAGCGCTGCTGGGGGGCTGTCCGAGAGCCAGCTGCCCTCCGTAGCGGCCTTCCTGGAAGATCAATTGCTCGACGATGCTGGGCCGGGCGTCCATCGTACTTCCGACGGCTCGCCTGTGCGTCCTGGACGTTTCGACACGGCCATGCCGAGATTCGCGGATCAGCCGCTTTGCTTGCATACGGCCTCTTCCTCGACCGACTCGGGCTCGCTCTCGATCGAGACCAAGCCGCCACTCGCCACAGCGCACACCGACGACCTCGACGTCAGCACGCCACGCGCTCGGCCCACCACATCGAGCAACTTCAACATCGGCATCGCCGGCACAGTCTTTCACCACGACGACGAGATTACGGATCACGAGGGTGATCTGGCCTCGAGCATCGGACGCAGGAGCGTCGCGCCAGGGTACAGGGGTGGCACTCCGGGGTCCCGCGTGGTGGTTCCGCTCGAGAAGCGACGGCAGCGCGCAGTCGAGCTGGATGCACACCATGTCGAGGGCGAACAGACTCCGACAAAAGCAAGCGCCACAGCGACCAAGCCGAATCCCGCCGCGCATGCCAGCCGCACAACCATGCAGCCATCCGCTTGGATCGTGGCTTCAGACCCGAACGATCCATTCGTCGGGCCTTCAGATGGATTGCAAGTGCGGAGAAGAAACGCTGACGTCCAAGCATCCCGCACGCAAGACGCCAGCGCTGCATCCTCCAGCGAAGAACAGCACAGCACGGCGCAAGCACTTGGACGCCCGGACTCGGACACGGGGCGGGATAACATCGATGAAGGACGCAGCCTTGGAAACGACAATGACCAGGAGTCCGACCACGGCCAAGATGCAGCCGATGGAGAGGAGCAAGAGACGAGTGAGGAGGAGGAGGAAGAAGAAGAAGAAGAGGAAGAAGAAGAGGAGGAGGAAGAAGAAGAGGAAGAGGAGGAAGAGGAAGAGGAAGAGGATGATGAGGACGAAGATGATCTCGCGCTCGAAGCGCTGGATCTGGAAGGCTACTGAGAGACGGGCGTCTCACTTGTCTTTGCCGGCACGAAATAAACCCAGCTCAGTTCAGCAGAGGGACAGGATATCTAGTCAGAATGACATGGTGTATTCGCAACGAGGCCGAAAGAAGGCGACTGTAAGAACGAGCGTGCAGCTGTCGATGCTGGTGATAATCTTGTATCAGACGGCAGCGTGCTCAGAGGTACTGGCAGTGTGCTTGGAGGCAGAAGGCGGCTGCTTGGCCGCATCCGCCGCCTTCTTGGCGCCGAGGATGAGTTTCTTTGGTTTGGCCTCGGCGCCACCGCTCGCGCTCGGAGCCATGGGGATGCCGCCTGGACCGCCGCCGCCAAACATAGCCTTCCAGGTAGCATGGTCCCTCTTCTGACGCACACGCTCGGCTTCCAGCACGCCGCCCGTCTTGCGCAGCACCTTTTTGTCGACAAAGCCAGCCAGCTCCTCGCTGAACTCGTCGTTGGCCTTGGACGCCAGCATGTCCTTCTGCCGTTGGCGCTCCACCGCCTGCAGCGCCCGCAGCCGCTTCTCGTGGTTCACCGCCTGCGACTTGACCTCCATCATGACCGTCGACAGACCCTCGTGGCCGTCCTCGGGCAGAGGTGGAATGTACTTGCCCCCCTTGCCCGACCCGCCGCGAAGCTTGACCACCTGCTGGATGTTGCTAAACACCTCGCGCAGCGCGCCCAGGTCGTCGCGCAGATCCGAGAGCAGCCCCTCTTCGTGGTTGAGAAACTCCTGCTCGTCCACAATGTTCTGCAGCTCCGACTCCCACGTCTTCTTCCAGCTCGGCTTGACCGTCTGCACATACTCCTCGAGCTCCACCAGCCCGTTGGTGGCGCGCTCCACGTCGTCGACGATCTGCTTGACCAGCACCGGCTTGGGCTTGACGCCGCGCTGGATCACATCCACGCGCAGATCGTCCACCGTGTCCTGCAGATCCTCGATGAGCGTCAGCAGATCCTGCGACTGCGTGTCCAGGCGCGACTTGCCCGCCACGATAAAGTTGCGCTCCGCAGCCACCTTGGTCGAGGCAATCGCACGTACGGCGCCCGCCTGCTCGCGCACCGTGGTCAGGATCGACTTGACATCGCCTTCGAAGTCAGTCTGCAGCTGCCGCGTGATGGCGAATTCGCGGCGAAGATTCTGCAGCTCGTCGAACTGCACCTTGAGCTCGTGGGCGATGCGCGAGCCCGCCATGGCCGACGATGTGGGCGATGCCACCGAGGGGCTCTGCACCAGCGGCGCGCCCGATTCTTCGTGCTGTGCTCCAGCTGCGCGCGTGTTGGCTCGCTTGAGCTGTGCAACACGCTGCCCAGCAGCTTGGAACTGCGAGTCGCTGATCTTGGTGGGCGTCGCGTGCGCCGGCGTGACGGCGAGCAGAGTGTCGTTGCCGACGAATCCGTGAGACATGCGACGCGCGTCGCGCTCGCGCTCGGCCAGCGCCGTCTTGAGCTCACGAATCTCGCGCGAGATGGTGCCGAGCGACAGGTCGAGGTGCTGCTTGACCTGATCTAAGGGCTCGATGTTGAGCGTGAGCAGGCTGCCCTCCTGAACATCGGCAAGATCCTCGAGCTCGTACGTGACGCCGCTCGCGGGGTCCTTGAGGTAGATGGTGGGGAAGTCGTCCATGCCAGGCGAGTAGGCAAAGCGGTCGATGAAGAGCATGCGTAGACGCGCGACGCTGATGCCCCGGGTGATCGGGTTGGTAGAATCCAACTCGATCACCGCCTTGCGCGTCTGGCGGCCGAGCTGCAGGAAGACGTTGAGCGCATCCGGCGAGGCCTGAATCGTCCGACTGCGTGGCGTGGAGGGCACCGCGTTGATCGATGCGCCGAGCGCTTTCGAGTCGAGCGAGCCTGGCTTGGCGGTGGTCGGATGAGCCTCGGCAACGTCGCCAGCGTCCGAGGCGGGCGGCTGAGCATCGACAAAGGGTAGCGATTCGGTCGAGCTGGCGGCGTGCGAAGTGACACGCCCGCCCGGCGGGGTGGGCGAGAGGAGGTCCCTCGACTGCCCAGATGCGCGCGCCGTCGCTGTGCTGGAAAGCGGCTCTGCGTCTTTGGCGCGGGGCTCGGGCGAAGGGCTGCGGCCGTCGCGGCTGAAGGTGGATGAGGTGGGCGTCTTGACCTCTTCGATCGACTCGAACTTGCTGTCGACAGTGGCGGCACTTCTGGATCGAGGGATCGCACGGGCGCCGCCAGCACCTGCGCCGTTGCCGCTGCCGCTTGCGCTGGCCGAGCCAAAGTAGTCGGCGGTGCGCGTAAAGGTGGACGGACTCGAGAGGCCAGCGGCCTCGAGCGCAGGACTCGACTCGGGCAGCGGCGGACGGACGACGCGGCGTGCGCCACTGCCACGGCGCTCGGACGGCTTGCGCTCGGCCAGCGGGCTGCCGTTGCCGCCGGTGGATGAGGGAGGAAACATGTTCATGCCGAGACCCTGGCTGTAGCTCTGGCCGATGCCCATCTTGTTGAAGGTGTAGGCGCTGAAGCGCTTGCTCGCACGGCGCTCGAGCGCGTCGCGATTCTTGAGCGCGCGCAGGCTGGGATCGTGGTCGGTGTAGTCTTCAGCGTCGACGGAGGATTTGGGCGTGTGGCGAGGCGAGCGTGTGCTGAGTCGTTGCGGCGTCATGCTGACCGGAGCGGTGGGCTCGTCCGTCAGATTCTCCTGTTCGTCGTCGGATTCAGCTGCGACGGGCGGTGCGACGGCTCCATCGTCGACAAGGGTGTGACGTTCGACGCTCGGCATACGCGGCGTCACCTGACCCGAGTCGGTCTCCGATGCGTCCGACGAGGCGAGTGTGGCAGGCTGGGGAGGTGCGGGTGAGTGCTGCTCACTGCTGCGCTTTTCTGCCGTGCGTTCGCTGGCGGTGCGAGAGACGCGACTGGGCGGGCGAACGATGCTGCTGTTGCTTCTGGCGGCTGCTGTAGCGCTCGACGCATCGGCTGCATCGTCGGGACCAGCTGCAGGCTGCGATGTTCGATCCGAAAGCAGTGCTGCGCCCGCAGAGCTCGCACGCTGAAGGGACTCGGGTCGTTGTGAGGAAGTGGCAGAAGAGGTAGCGGTGGCGTGGGAGTCTGAGGAAGCAGCAAAGCCTCCTTCGCTGACACCTTGTCTCGAGGCGCGAGGGCCCAGCACGCGGCTCGATGTTTGTGGCTGTGGCTGTGGCTGACGAGCCGGTGGAGGAGTGGATGTGGCCTGGACATCGCCGAGGAGGCTGGAGCGGCGTGCTTCCTTGACGGCGCGCTGCTGGACCAGGAACTGCTTGTATTCGGCCTGCTTCATCTTGAGGCCTTGGAGGAGGTTGATGATGATCTCGCGGATGCGTGGCAGATGCACCTCGAGCACGGCGGGCGAGGCCTCCTCGGAGAGGCAGCGTTCCAAGCAGTCGCGCAGATCGTCGGGCACGGAGCTGAGGTCGCTCATGTCGATGCCGTACGAGCCAAAGGCGAGCTTGGCCGAGTTAAAGTCATTGCCGAGGCGCACGTAGATGTCCGAGACGTCCTCCTCGCTGCGCTGTCCGACGGACCACTTGGTGAGCGACTCGAGCAGCATCTTGGTGGCTACCAGCAGGCGCGTGACGGACGACTCCATGTGGCTGGAAGAGTACTTGGCGGGCGAGTCGTGTGCTAGCGTCGCAGCGACGGCTGGCGCAGGCGCCGGCGTGTTGACCGACGACTGGCTCGACTGACGCTCGCGCCGTTCGCGTTCGCGTTCTCGTTCCGCCTGACGTTGCTTCTCGCGCGCACGCATCTCTTCGGGCAGCTGTGCTGGCGAGCGCGAGTATGTGGGTGCGCCGCCGGGGCTGTTCCAGGCTGAGGCGGCGGAGGTGGATCCAGCGCTGTCCTTGCGAGACATGTATGACGAGCCATGCGGGCTGTTTTCGTAAGAGGGCGAGCTGGAGCCTTCGTGTGCGTACACGTGCTGCGGATGGCGGATGCGCTCTGCTGTGACGGGCTGAGTTGTTCCCGAAAGACGATGGTTGGCCGACGCGGAGGCATTGGTGCGATCGCCCGAGCCCTTGCGGCTGCTGATCAGGTTGGAGAACATGGCGCTGCTCCTTCAACACCGAAACCGGGGTTCACCGGCGAGCCCACTTCACAGTGGTGATGGTGCGGTTGCAACGGTGCGGGTGGGCGGTGATCCGTGTCAAAGATGCTGCGGACGATGTGGGCGGCGCTGCACCTCGGCTGCCTCGGTCGGCTGGGCACACTGTGGTCCAAGCGGCTCTCTCTTTGCTCGGCATTCAACGCGAGCCTAAAAGGTTGCTGGATCGGCATCGAACTGGCAACCCACCCCGATGGCGAACATTCCCGATATCCCACCTCTGCGTGTTCGAAGGTCGAAGGTCGAGGAAAAGCTGCATTAAAAAAGAAGAAAGTCCGGCGAAATTCGCGGTCGATTAAATCTTAAAGTTTTTAGTCCGTTCATCACAAAGTGGAGCAGCTGCCTTCGCACGTCCTTCCCCATCAACCACAACCTCGCTCTACACACACACACACACAAACACACACGCAC